GTTATTAAGTTTTTTTTGGTGGTTTTTTTTATCAATAATGGCATCTGTCTATTTTTTTTAACAATTCAGACATTATTTTATTTGGTTTACAAAATAAATTTTTGTTAGGCACAATAACTAATATGTTTAATATTAAACAACAAAGTGAAATCCATAACTTATTATTATCTGATACTGGCAGCTTATTTACAAAACCGTTTTGATGCCATTAAGTTTTTTTTCTCTTCTTTATCTTTTTTTTTAATGGCATCCGGCAATTTTTTCAACCAATTCAGCCAGTATTGCTCTTATTCAAACCTTTTTGGTTTGGCAGGATAAAGGATGGAAAAAAGACAATTTCCTTGACCACCTCGAGTACCAAGTTGAGACAAGGAAGAAAAAGTTCAATAAAGAAACCTTGAATAGAAAACAAACTTTCATGCTCACGTTTAATAGATTTTCAACTAGGTTTAACAGTATACCGACTTTAAATAATCTAGGAAAGACATGCTTGGCAAAAATATATATTAAGGAAAATAAATTCAGATTATATTGAATTAAAAAAAAAATTGTCTTATTTATACATACATAGGTATATCACATGAATTTGTGACCTAAATATTAGTTGTGTGTAATAGTCATAAAATCTCGAATGAAGTAATTTCAATGGCATGTAGCCTAAAATTGTACTGTGTATCTATTGAATATTAAAATACTTCAAATGGTTACTGAAAGTAATAAAAAATGCTCTTAGAATATATGAAAAAAGTGTACATGTGTCATAGAGTTAAAAGTATACAGCTATTCAAAAGTAGGTAGGTATGTAGGTACAGTTGAACTCGGCAAACATCGCCAGCTATAGCGTACACTATGGTGACCCATTTTCATGCGATTCCTTAAACTAGCACGGTAACCCATGTACGCTTGATGTCCGAGGTTTCTCTGCCAAGCTTTATACAAAATAATAAAAACGTATATTTGTTGAAAAGCAATTCTACAAATCAACGTTTCCATCACGTTATTATTTAAAATATGAATCTTTGTATGTGAATGTGTGATTGTTAGTTCTTTACACTGGAACGGCTTAACGGATTTGTGTGAAATTTAAATATTATGATTTTTGGGCATTACAAACTTGAGCTGGTTTATTATACACATAGATTGACATGTTGGATCTTTGATTAAATCATGAGAAGTTCAATATTTTATTTAAATGGGACATGAATAAGCACTAATGTATGTGTACAGAGAGACGTACTAATGACTAATGCGTACGAGCTCAAATTACAATTTATTAAGAATTTGACTAAGGGTTCGCACATGTCCATAGAGGTACATTCTTGCCTTTTGTTACTCACAAATCTATGTCAATAGATATGACTAAGTCCATGCGGTATTTTCTGAATGAATATTTTGATTCATAAAATTACTCTTAGATGATTGGTGTTTGTGAAGTAAAAATGGGACGAAAATCACAATTTTCATGCGCCATGCTTTCCTGTCTGCGGGTCTTGGAATTCAAGATGCTATGTTTATGCGAAGTTAGTTGATACACCAGAATCGAATATACAATTTCAACATAGATACATATTTACAGCGTGTAGCCGTGTACCTTCATTCTGTTAAAAGTTTTCATAAAAAGTCGGAGTTAAAAGCTACATTAAATTACCCCGACCTCAACTGTTTAACCCGACCTGAACATTTTTTATGCCGACAGTCCCAAAGGAAAAACCTTTCTCATTTCCAGAATGATTAAAAACAAGTAATTTTTAGGTCAGATTTCAACTACGTAGAACAATTTTTTTTACCATTGAAAACATTAAGAATATGTAGTTTTGTTTAAAACCAAGTTTGCGTTTATAAGTTTCGTTTGAAATGAATTATGTAACTAACAGTAAATATTTCAAGTTTTCATATAAAGGAGAGTATTTCAAATGAAAAGGTCTCATAGAGAATCTTTGGAGAGTTCTGAAAATCCTGAATTCTTGTTCACTAGAAATAACAATTGAAACAATATTGCGCAGTATGCCTTCTCTCGTAATAACAAATTATAAGTAATTAGGTAATGTTTCGTGTCGAAACATTATTTGAAAACAAAATATTATGATTTTATTCTTCATGACTAATGTGTGTGCTTATTGATGTTGCCAAAATTATTTATTTAATACACTTACGTCATCGCCAAACTATTTCTCAAATAACGAAATTCTTTCTAGTCACATAGAGCATGTATAATCACTGGTTTGGATTAGTCTGCAGACTGAGATAGACGTAACTAAAAACTAGACATTCTTCTAGCCTTCGCTCTTTACATTATTTTAGTAGTCAATAGTGTAATCAGTTTTGAGCGTCTGTCTGCTAGAGTAATTCTGTAAAACTGACAGGGACCGAGAACTTAAGAACATAGAAACCATTCACAGACCTTCTGTCCCAGATTGTCTTTTTGCTCAATGAATTATACTATCTACATTAATTTTTCAAATGTGATCTTTACTTTTCTACCGCATTTCATTTTCTGTACAGAAAATTATTTCATTACGTAAGTTTTTCTATCAGGTTACTAGCTTATCCTCAGAGATTCCATCTTACCTTTCCACAATCTGTTTTCCTTATTGAACATTAGATTGCTTGAA